AGCTCGCCATCCTCACGGCCTGGTCGAGGATCCTTGTGCCCGGATTTGCCAGGCTCACGGTTGAGCTCGCCATCCTCACGGCCTGGTCGAGGATCCTTGTGCCCGGATTTGCCAGGCTCACGGTTGAGCTCGCCATCCTCACGGTCTGGTAGAGTATCTTTGTGGGCCGGCTTACTAGACTCCTGATTCACCTCATTATTCTTGCTTTGGGGCCGAGTGTCCTTGTGGACCGGCTTACAAGATCCACGATCTACCTTTCCGTCTGATAGGGTATCTCCGTGTCCTTGCTTGTCAGATTGACGACACTGGAGCTCATCCCCAGGCTGACTGTGGCCTGTCTTGCGGTCGATCTCAGCATCCTTAGGTCCCTGCTTCGTATGTTTGCCAGACTTTGTCGACTCTGCCTTCAACTCTTCATCCTTCCGCCGGTGTCGAGACTCCTCCTGCGAAGGTTTACCAGACTTGCGATGTTGCAGCTCCTCTTCTTCGCGCTGACTATCCTTATGGCCTGACCCGCGATCTAATTCTCCACCCTTAGGTCCCAGCTTAGGTCCCGATTTATTACGTTGCCAACTAGCGTTTCCACTAGTTCTACCCCCCCCAGTAAAGCCAGAGCGCAAGTCCTCGTCCTTCCAGTCTTGGTCCTTCCAGTCTTGGTCCTTCCAGTCTTGGTCCTTCCAGTCTTGGTCCTTCCGTCCTGGTCCGCCGTTCTCGGCCGTCTGGCGGGCAGTCTGTTCGCCCGACTCTTGTCCCGAGTCTCGTTTCGAGTCGTAGTCGTCGTCAGAGTCTGGCAAAATCTCGACGCTCAGAGTGGCTTCCGAGAGTGCGTCATCGTCATCGTCCAAGCTATGGGAGACTAGCGCTGGCGTGTTCGAGTCGTTGGTGGAGTTAATGGTGTAATGATCCGTCTGAAAGGGCGGTTCACGCAATGCGCGGTCGCCCGAATTGCCCGAGCTCCTTCTGCGTCGATGGTGGTGGTGATAAATGACGCCGCCAGTACCAGTGCGTCGGCGCCAACGCTTCACCGGACCCCGTTCGCCACTGTACTTCAAGTTCGCTGCCGGCTTCCCACCACGGTGCCACAACTCCACAATGTCATACCTACAAAACCAGATCTACAACACATACCAGCACACAGTGTTCGGTGCGGGGTGCTTGTCATACCTTGATGTCCGGTAGATAATCTCGTCTCGTTTCTCAGACACCTGCTGCTGATTGTTCGTCGATGTAATCATCATATTCGTTGGCGTACCCCAAACAGTCGAAGGGGTGCCGCCGTCATACTGGCGTGGACTGTGGTATTGCATTATGACCAAAAAAACTTGTTGACGAACTTTACGACTGAGAAAAGATGTGCCCCCGACTTCGAGAAAATGCGGTGACGTTTCAAGCAGCAATCCTGCGCTCTAAAGATGGAGGTTTCTATGCCGTGGCGGAGATGTGTGTCCCTGTAGATTAATCGAGTTTGATATCTGCGTTGAATGTGTATTCCTTCGGCTCATCAATTTTTTGCTCGATCTGCTTGACCGCCCTAGCCGTTTCTTCCAAGAGCTGAAAAAAAAGAGGTGAGGAACAGGAGGGGGGGAAGCTTACGGGGTTGTCGGTAAGTTTTTCATTCAGTGCATCTTGCACGGCCTGTTTGACTCCGCTACTGGGCAGGTCAAACTGGCCCTCGATGGCGACGAGTTTGGTAGGTCCTTGGAGATGTGCTGCGGTAGTTTCTTCGAGTCGTTGGAGTCGTTTATTTGCCAGCTTCATCATCTCTTCTGTGCGCGATTTAGATTGCGTTTCCAATGCCTTGTTAACGGACTCTAATAAGTAGTCGGCGGGCGGCATATCCTTCTCCCGCTGGACCAGAAAGTCTATCTTTTCCTGCATTACTTGCAAACTGCGCTCATGGATCGCTTCCCTTCGCTTGATGTCTTCTTCAAAGATTGCGTTCAGTCGCTCTTTTTCGGCTGCGAATCGCTGGGTTTCTTGTCGCAGACTTTCCAGCTCCGCCCGCATCTCCTGCACATCATCTTCAGTCAAACGTTTAGAGTATTCTTGCCGCACCTGCTCGATTTGACCCAGCAAATGTTCCTTGTTCGCCTCCGAAAGAGTCAGGTTCTGCTGCGTTTGCGCAAGTCGGTCTTGCATGGCTCTGTGGTTTTCATCCAGAGACGCTAACTTCTGCTTCAGCTCGTTCAGATACTGGTCTCGCTGGACAACTTTTTGCTGCTCTTCCGGGAACAGAAGTTTGTATTTATCCCTCTCCACCGACGCTTCCTGTAGGTCGTTCAAGATGCCTTCGCGGTCCCTCATCAGCTTGCGCAGGCTATCCTTCACATTACTCAACTCGTGCGTCATCTGCTCTGTAAGGTCCGCAAAATGCTTCACCTTGTTCACCAACGTTTGTACATACGTTTCCTGCTCCATCACAGTTTTACGATCCCTTTCCAACGCCTGCTCCATCGTGCGACAGTGCTCACGCTCCTCTAACACCACCGCCGCACATTCTTCCATTTCCATCATCCGTTCCCGCACCGAGCGCCATAAAGACTTGTACTTCCCGCACTCCTCTTTATATGTGCGAGCCGCCACGCGGGCCCGCTCAGACGTCTCGCGCTCCTTCAGCGCCTTGGCGTCGCTCTCAGCGACCATGGTCTCCGCATGCTCAAGAAACTCGCGCTGCACGTTCAGCTCCTTCTCGATGAACTCTCGCAACTTGCGCTCCTCGTCTACCTCCATCTTCATCTGCCCCACCAACACTGACAAGGTCGCCAACTTGTCCTTCACGTTCGTCATCTCCCCATGGAATCGACTCTTCAGCAACTCCGCGTCCACCGACTCCTTCTTCAATTTACGCGTTTGATCCTCTAACAACTGAATCTGCACCGCTGACTCCTGCAACCCGTTCACCAAATGCTCTTTGAACGCCGCGAAACGCTCCGCCTCCGCAGCCACCGCCTTCAACTTGGCCGTCATCTCCGAGCGCTCCCGCAGCAACTGTCTCTCGTACCGCTCACTGTCGTGCACCGCGCGACCGGCCAATTGTTTCTGCGTCTCCAGCTCCTCCTCCAGATAGCGTACACGGTTCTGGGACTCCTTAAGCTCCGACACAGTCATCTCGTGGGCCTCGGTTTTGTCCTTCAAAGACCGCTGTACGTCAGTCAGTTCCGCCGTGATCAGCGGAATTCCACCCTACGCGGAAAAAAAATTGGACGACCTGGGTATCGATCCCAGTACCTCTCGCATGCTAAGCGAGCGCTCTACCATTTGAGCTAGACGCCCGAATTGGACGCAGGGCACAGTACCCCCGCGTCACCGCAGAGCCTCTCGTCACCGCAGAGCATTGATAAGAGTGTACAATTGACAGAATACAGATTGAGGTACACTGGCAGACCAAGTGTAGGAATAAATTGGCTTACCTTGGCGTCCACTTTATCTCTGAGGTCGGCAAGTGTTTTGTCGAATTCTTGTTTCATTCTGCGCTCTTTGAGTTGGAAATGCAGTTTCAGGTCCTGTGCCCAGCGCATCATTTGGTCTTTGGCATCGGTGAACTTTTTCTTGACGTTGAGGTTGACGGATTCGTCAAAGACGGGGGAGCGCGTGCCGCTGGGAGGCGTCTCTGGGTCGGCGGCCATCGAGTCGATACGTCTGTTGAGATCAATGCTGGCGGCCCTGAAAGTCTTGGCAACTGTTGTTTTAGGCGGAGGATTAGACTCCTCGGCATCCTCCATCTCTTCGACTCGACCTGGGGCGACCGCTTGCGGTTCGGGCACGACCGACTCGACGAGCATTTCGGTGATGAGATGCAGCAGCTGCGGGTTCACATGTTCCCCGGTGATTTGGTTGACCAGATCGTGCACGGTCTGTGCGACTGTACGCACGTTCTTCGCCTTCTCAAGCTCCATCTCTAGGAACTCGCTCAACTCGCTCAGGTTCCGAATATTCCCGCCGGCCGATGGATCTACACTGCCCAAGAAACGCTTCAGCACCGCTTCCAGCTGCTGTAACTTGGTCACCGGCCCCGTCACGGCGGTGGGGGCTCCGCCCCCACCACCGTCCAGAAAGGCCGCGGCCACAGCCGCCGGCGGTGCCACCGGCGCTCCTGTCGCGGTCCTCGAACCGAGCGTAAAGTCGCGCGGTGGGGTTGCTTGAATGTATGGTCGTGCGAGTGCGCGCAGGTGATTGCAGCCGGGCAGCGGCCCCGCGACGGAGCTCACACCGCAGCCGCCGGCGTGGTCGCCGAGTGGCGCTAGCGGGCATTGGTTGGATGGGCTGGCGGCCAGCAGTGCCAGCAACTGCGCGATTTTATCGCTGTTGGAGTGTGTGTGGGCACCCGCGTTCGTGGTGAAGGGCACAACTCGTCGTCGGCCGCGTTTGACCGCTGCGGCGGCTGTTGCAGCGTCACGTCGCGGGCTGGGAATGTCGAGGTTCTCAAAGACGGCGTTTGGAATCTCCGGCGCGCGGTACCCGTCGTCCTCCAACAAGTCCAGACCCACCTCCGGCCGTAACGAAGGCTCGTCCGCCCAGGGCGCGACTGCGGGCGGCAAACCTGCACCCGGCGGCCTTAGAGGCGGTGCAAACGACTTGAACGGCGGCGCTGACTTGAGTAATGGCAAACTGTCCTTGGACGCCGCACGCGCTGGCTTCGGTGCCAACGGGGGCGTCGACTTGGGCAAAAACAAAAGAGGCGGGCGACCGGCCATTGCACCAAGGAGCAGGAAATGCAGGAGGAGCAACGGCCGGGCGGGCAAGGACCGTCCTGCTAGAGGGCAGGGCCAAGACCGAAAGGCAGCGATTGATTCGGGTCGTGCTCGAACGCACACCAGAACCAGGGCTAGGGCTCAAGCAAACATGAGTTCGTACGTTAAGTGCGTCCTTCAGGCAGCTGTCCGACGGAGTCCAGTGAGAGGCGGATAAAAATAAAATGGTGGCTGCTCAGTCGTCGCTCTCGGCGTACTACTCCACCCGGAGCGTGTATGACGTGCTCGAACGGCCCACCGCTGGCGAGGTAAGGCCCTGGTGGGCAGTTCATGGCGAGAGGACACAGTCAGGTCATGATTGGGAAAGGGTGCACAATTGTTACAGGGGAAGGCGCAATTGGCACAGGGCTACGCAATTGGGGGGGGCACAGGGTACGGGCGTCGCAATTTGTCACAGGGAGTGTGGTGAGACAGCGGTGATTGTAGAGGTTGCGGCACCCACCGAAGAAGAATAAGGACCGTGAGTTGGTGGGGTCATTGTTGGGTCGGCAAACGTTTGGTGAAAAGTTGAGCAAGACGTTCAGCATACCGGGTCGGTTGGATCCGCGATTCCAAGTCTTACGGATGTGTCCGAGGGGTTCAAAGGCTGCGTGTCGTGAGAGCAATCGACAGGGCGGCCATTGCAACTTGATCCACGTAAACCGCATCATTAATGAGTTGACGGAGATTTCGGCGGGTGATTGTTCTTATTTGGACACATGTCGTCACTTGTCGGCTTGTCGGTTTGTGCATTATGCGTTGGATGTGGGGGACTATGGTCCGGTGATTGCTAACCACCCGTATTTACAGCATCGATTGGTGAAGTTAAACAAGTTTGATGTGTTGGAACGCGAGACGGGTGGGGCGGAGGTGGGAATTGGGCCGGGGAGTGAAGGATTGGAAGTTGGAGATATGACGGGGACAGGGATGGGGGATAAGGCGGGGAGCGAGAAAACGAAGGTGGAAGAGGCAGGTGTAGAATCTTGGCTGCGGGAGGGGTGTTTGGCATTACATGAAGGCACACGGATGCCGCCGCAGTGGATTCGGTGCGATTTAAGGACAGTAGATCTTGGGGTGTTTAAAGGCAAGGTGAGCGTAATCATGGCGGATCCACCGTGGGATATCCGTATGGACCTGCCTTATTGGACAATGACGGATGTGGAGATGAACAGTCTCAGGATCGACTTGGTCCAAGATGAAGGGTTGCTGTTCCTATGGGTAACTGGTCGCGCTATGGAAATAGCACGTCAATGCATGACGCATTGGGGCTACCGACGTGTGGACGAACTCGTCTGGCTTAAAACCAACCATCTACATAGGATCATCCGCACAGGTCGCACAGGACATTGGTTAAACCATAGCAAGGAACACTGCCTAGTCGGCGTTAAAGGAAACCCCCGAATCAACCGTAAGATTGATTGCGATGTACTTGTTAGCGAAGTCAGAGAAACCAGTCGTAAACCTGACGAAATATACCGACTCATTGAACGAATGTGTCCTTACGGACAGAAGCTAGAGCTCTTCGGCCGCTCACATAATTTGAGAGACAATTGGATCACACTTGGCAACCAACTCAATGGTATCTCCCTACATGATGCTGACCTCATCAACCATTTCAAGTCAAGTAAAACCGGACTCCGGCTCGTCTGTGCAGAAGAGCAAAAAAGACTCAGACGCACTCATGAACCTAACCAATGAATCAGAGCAGACCAATGAACCAGACCGTTAGAAGGAAACCCAAACCAGTCTCTCCCCCCTTAGTTATTAGTCCAGCCAGAGTACTTGGAGCAAGTCCTCCAGAAGTACTTTGAGAAGTGGTTGCCAGGATATCCGGTGCAAGAAGAGTAAGCCTGTGAAGCTGTTGAGCAAATTATACTTCCGTATGTGAAAAAACTATTACGACAGCAAAATTTAATTTCGAGGCATTTCGTAGCCATCAATTTTGTGCTGGAAGGAGGTGGCGGTGTACCGGTACCGTTGGTATGCCTCTTCGGCGAAGCGTTCGGTACGATCGAGGGCAGTTAGGAGTGAGGCACGAGTGCTAGGTTCAGGTCGTGCGAGGTGATCGAAGAGCCATTTGGCGGCCTCGTGACAAAGTTGTTTGGAGTCCTTTTCTAGTCCGAGTGCACGTCGTGCATACATGAGCCATTCAGCGGGGTCCATGGCCCAGTAGGGGTAGCAGCTGATCTCGCCGCCACAGTCAAAATAATCGGCCCCGACACTGCTGTCTGAGCTACGGCCTTGGGCACGGGCCGCATCATATCCCAAATAATCGAGACTGCCAGGTCCGGCGGGGCATTTGAGGCTATCAACAACACGCCGTCCAACAAGGACCTCGGTCAAACTTATTCCGGCTCCCCAAATATCACTGCTGAGTCCAATATCCACACGTCGTGCCGCCTCTGGATTCTTCTTCTTCTTCATAAAGTACTCGAGCAATTTTTGCTCCGGACTCTCATACCACGATGTGCCACCTGTGAAGTCTTTGGCGTTGTACATGCTTGCCGTACCCAAGTCAATCAATTTCACATCCAACGCCTTATGTCCTTGTCGATTATAATGGAAGTCAAGCACGATATTGTCTGGTTTCACATCGTTATGCCGAATGGACAAAACGGCGTATTGGTGCAATCGATGAAGGGCTAGAGCGCACCAACGCAACTTCTGGAACTCATAATTAGCCGGGTAATACACACATCCACCTTGCCACTCACCCCCTGTGTTCACACCACCTCCACGGTGGGAGTAAACAGTGCGGCAACGGGCATCTGCAGAATGGTGGAAGTGCCAGTTATGGTTATGTTCAGCGCGGATAACGTCGAACAAGTCAGGTCCGCTGAGCTTGCGCGTCAGAAGTACAGATTTGCCAGGAGCACGACGGTCAAGATGATAACCATATAGTTCTGCGCATGGCCATGCGTCCTCTAGTTTTTCAACAACCGCCCATTCGGGCATTCGTGTGTAACTGAATTGTGCCGCATGTTGTTGACGTATTTCTAGTTCCAGTTGATATAACGCGGCCAATTTTTGATAGGTATAGATGTGGCATTCGATTTCACGTTTGAGGGAACGGCCATCGCGTGAGTTGCAGTCCTCGACAAACTTGAGGGCAGCTGGACGTGGGCTTTGTGGCTCAGCATTGGATGTCCAAGTGACACGATGAACACGACGGTTACTAGAGTTCTGGCTAATCACCCGTTCCGCCTCGATTTCCCAGAGTCGTAACTCTCCGCGAGCGACTTTGGTGTTTTGCAAAGGTGGCTGTGCAAACACCACAGGACCACGAGCGTCGTACAAACGTCGAAAACCACTTGCGCAACGGATATCCGCAGATGATACGTACGGAGAAATTGCCGTAAATAACGCCGTTAAACTCGAGTTCGTCTCAGCAACCGTACACGCAGTCGTCTCCACCGGGGAACAATCTGCCGCAGCATCAGATGGAAACACTGTCGTCGCCGATGGAGATGGCTGCTCCCCATCTCGCAATGACAAAGACTCCAATGTTGACTGAGCGGATAACGGCCGTCGACGTCCACTCGCTCCCACGGGAACACGCACCTTGTCCTTCGCACGCGCGCTACTCTGCTCAATATTCTCCTGCACCGCTGATGGCGCCAATACCACACCACCCACGCCCTTCCGCAAACTCCCTCCAGATTTCAAACCTAAAGTAAACCGTTTTCGAAACACACACACAGACGTTAATACATACAAACACTTAGCCCCCCCAAGGTCGTTCACTTGCTTGTTATTCACGCACACACCACACTGGGGGGAAGGGG